GGGGGGGGGGGGGGGGGGGGGGGGGGGGGGGGTGGCAGTGGAAATCAGCGGCGAGGCGTTGAGTCCGCGAGTCCTCAGGGGGACGAGCAGTGCTGAGCGATCAAAATATACATTCGGTCCCCAGTGCATGTGCGAAAGGTGGCCTTTGCCAATAGATTGCGGGGAACGTCTGTACGCTGTGGGGTGTCTCACCCATCGATGGACCGGGGAAAGGTTGTTCCTAAAACATCTTCTGTGAAAACCGCTTCATTCAAGGAAGACAAACAGCTTTCCAGCAGCACATAAAAAAAACAGCGAAAATGTGTCGGGCAACACATCGCTCCATCGGTGTGGGTCCTGCTACTTCTTGAAGAGAAGTCCGTCCATTCAGAATCCCGTTCACTCTGCAACATAATTTCCCGTCACCTGGTCTCTCAATAGGGGCACGGCCTTGGCGAGGGCCTCCAGCTCGGTGTTTCTCCTCCCCAGCGAAGTGACTTCTTCGGTCAGGGCGTCTCGTGTAGCCTGCACCGCTTCCAAACTGTTGTCGAGAAAAAGATAAAGAAAAAGTCGAGAAACGAAAAAAAAATAACAAGCGCTTGAGGACTGGTTTCGTAGAGAAAATAAAATAAGCAAATGAATTCTGTATCAAACAAGGCCCTGTATGTCATTTTCTTGCACCCTGTGTCACTTCGAGCATTTTCAAGAGCGACAAACGAAGCCCAAGTCCCGAGAAGCATAAAAAGGTGTGCGATAAATAAAACACACACATCCTTAGAGGTGGAATAAACCGTGCACGGCTGCCTCAACCGCCATCACTTACCGAAAGGGTAGGCAGTAGCATGGCCAGCTCAACTGGCGGTGGAAGGCGCACAAAAAAAACAACAACAAAAATGGCATGCGTGTTTCACTCACCGTTGCTGCAGGACGTCCGCCTGCCCCTGGCGCTGCTTGGCGAGACTGTGAAGTCGCTCCACCTCAGCGAATGAAGCGCCGCCCCCGCCCCCGCCCCCGCCCCCGCCCCCCCCGCCGTTCGCAGCGACCCCCGCTCGAGGAGTCCCGCTGGCGCGTCCAAGACAGAGACATACTTAAATACATCAGAATGTGTGTATGGAGTGTTACAAGGCAGAATATGTGACAAAGGCACGTAAACACAATAAACAACAACGTAGGACAATCACGCGCGAATGGATGGGTAAAATACCAGCATGGCATATGAGGACATGAGACAAAAATGATGGATGGCAACACGGGGGGATTAGCTATCACCTGCTGTCCGACCTGGTGCTGGTGCCTGCCGTGTGCCTACTCCTTTTATCATATCTCTCCGAAAAACCGCACACAAAACCGCAGCCGAAGGTCGCCCACCAACCGTCGGCAAGCTACACCGGTACCGGTCTTCATTTTCAGAAAATGAAAACGGCTTCAGGACATGAAAATAAGTTTACAGAAGATACACTCGCCTTCTATCGAACGGGCAAATCATACGTTCGCCACACCAGCTAGTCTCCCACGGATCAATCCAGCCCGCACCTCCGATATTGCGTTACAATCCTTCATTCTTCATCCTTCGGGTTTCAGCAGAGGTGGCGTTTTGCCTCCCTTCCAGCAACACCCGTCCCCGCCGATGGTTACAAAACAACACCCACCAGATCGACCACGATCACCACGGATCCCTCCGTCACACATGCATATTTTTTTCCCGTGAGTACTACCCCGGCGAGTACTATATTACCCCGGTGAGATCTTGCAGATCTTACCTCTGACTGCCTGCGAAGGAGTCGTCGATCGAAAAAGAACCCGAGTCTCTCCGACTCCACGTCTCCGGGGGACCTCTCCTGCCTCCCCTGTCCAATGACCCCCCGTAGAGCCTGCCGCGCGACAACGGGCGGGGGGGGGGGGGGGGGGGGGGGGGGGGG